TTTTTAAGGAAATCAGCCCCGAGTGCTCACTGGAAGGACAGATCATGAAGCTGAGGCTCCAATACTTTGGCCACCTCATGAGAAGAGAAGACTCCCTGGAGAAGACCCTGATGTTGGGAAAGATTGAGGGCATAAGGAGAAGGGGACAACAGAGGACGAGATGGTTGGACAGTGTTCTCGAAGCTACCAGCATGAGTTTGACCAAACTGCGGGAGGCAGTGGAAGACAGGAGTGACTGGCGTGCTCTGGTCCATAGGGTCGCGAAGAGTCAGACACGACTAAACGACTAAACAACAACATAGATATAGATATAGATATAGATATAGATATAGATATAGATATAGATATAGATATAGATATAGATATGGATTCCTATTCCTGGGAGTAAGGCCTACTGAACTCAGTGAGGTGTGTGTCTGACGAGCAAATATGTCAGTTTTGTTTTCTCTCAGTATAACTTTTTATCCAACCATTTCTTTCCAATATAATTCATCCAACCCCATTTTTCCAATCATAAATTTGAGTTTCCCAAGGATTATTACGAAGACCTGTGTACCTTAACTCATTCATAAACAATGTACAGTTAGGAGCGAGCAGTGAGGTGGCAATGCTTGCTAATCGTTTATGATCGTTTAAAAATGGGATTGTGAAGAGCTCCAAAAGGGCCTCTCTCTGAACTGGATGATGCTTGTTGGAGCAAAACAATATTAATTTCATGTAGACACTCATGGGGTCTGAACTAGCTGTAATTGTCTAGGAATGAGACCTTGGGGTCTTAGTGGATTGTCACTTACATTTGGCATATGAGGCAACAGAACAACATAGGCCATTGGCCTGATCCAGTAGGCTCTTCTTATGTTCTTCTGTTCTTATGCCTGGTTCCCTGCATTTTAACATCAGTTGCTCATTTTTTTAAAAAAAGTTGAAATAAAAATTCCTCAACATTTAGTGAAAATTTCTTCTTACATGTACATAATGTATGCTTTTTCCCTAATAATCATATTTTTGTAAAGCAATGTTCTTTAATTTAATGCATTTTTAATATTTTATTTCCACTAATATACACCCTTGTGCAAATTAATTGAAACAAACAGTGAATTTAGTAGTTTATTGTACAAAACTCACATATATATGTACAAAACAGTCCCTCTGCCATGAATTCCTTCACCACTTTCGATGTGTGACAGGGGGCTAGGTCCTGCTGCAATATCCCAGCACCATCAGGATACCTCTTTCCCAGCTCTGGAATAACTCTCTTCCGTAGAACCTCAGTATATTGTGGCGAGCGCATCATTCCTTCTATTTGCTGCAGGCTTCTGACACCCTAATGATCAACTGACTTTTCGTGTTTGTTTTGAGTACAGGATTACGAGTAAGATAGAAAAAATGCTTTGTTTCAATTAATTTGCATAAGGGTGTATGCATTTTATGCACACTCTGGCCTAGAAAATGAATTGCTTGTGTAGAGAACTGTGAGTGTTGAGGGTTTGTTGTGTTTCATTTCACATGTTGTTGTTGTTGTTTAGTCGTGTCCGACTCTTCATGACTCCATGGACCAGAGCACGCCAGGCATTTCACATACTGTTTAGGAAAGTATAAATGCCAACTGAAACAAAATCCTCTCCCATCCCTACTGGGAAAAAGTACATAAATCTGCACTGTAAACGTATTTCAGCCTGATCCAACAGCGTACTTCTAAAGTCCTAAAGTTAAGCATTTTTCCTCCCACCCACAACCATGCTAGGTTTCTTGGTAGTCTTCACCACTTCCCTTGCAAAAACCAAACCACTCCTGAAAGCCAGCAGAAAATGAAAAACATAGCAAGGTGAAAACAAGATCAATTACATACTAATTTCATTATATAAAAGATGCTGTGCCAATAAAATAAAAAGTTAAAAAAGAAAAGAAAAGGGTCAGCTTGGTGGTAGAGCGATACACTTAATTCCACATTATCTAAAAGAGAAACACAATTTAGAAATTGCTCGTAACTTCCCAGATGCTGTCAGCAATGCTTAGCAGCAAAATTAAACCCAATATCTTAAATTAAATATAACAAGGTCCTTTGGCCAGGGTTGCGTTTAAAATGCTTACGTTAGAGAAAAAATATTTAACAAAACATTAGCAGAATCTGATTCAATTTGAATCATTTGCAAGGGAGTTAAGCTAATACACAGGGTTTTAATGGCATTTAGCCTTTTCTCAGAGGTTTTTCACGGATTGCAGTCAGAGAAGTAAACACATTTCCCCCCATTAAGAGATTCTTCAGAATATGCCTCCACCTAGGAATGTAAGAAAGCATCATTTCCCTTTCTTCCCCTATTCATTGCATTGAGCACTATTTCCATTCTGCTGCAGTTTTTCATCTCACTGTCCACTGTGGCAAAATTACATAACTTATGTATATTACGTAATTAAGTACTGTATTTTTTGCTCTATAAGACGCACTACTTTTTCCCTCCTAAAAAGTAAGGGGAAATGTGTGTGCGTCTTATGGAGCGAATGCAGGAAAAGCCCCCAAGAGCTGCACACAAGCTCCGTGCGGCTCTTGCAGGCTTTTCCCTAGGAGGGAGAAGCGACTGACACGGCCAGTCAGTCCCTTCTCCCTCCTATAAGAAAAGCCTGCATGAGCCGCACGCTCCTTAAAGGGTGTGCTGCTCCTGTGGGCTTTTGCGGAAGGTGGGGGTATTGCCATAGCCGCGCGTAGCCCCTCCGGCCAGGAGAGGCTGCGCATGGCTATGGCTTCTTTAGCCGCGCGCAGCCTCTCCCGGCTGGAGAGGTTGCGCACAGCTAAAGAGGAAAAGCCAAGATGGATGGATGGATCCCGCTTGCTGTCTTGGTTTCTTTGCTCTTTGGGGCTGGGGGGGGGGGACCCGGGCTTCCCCTGGCAGACCCAGAAGCTCTGGGAGAAGCGGACATTTTTTTTCTTGATTTCCCCCTCTAAAAGCTAGGTGTGCCTTATGGTCCCGTGAGCCTTATGGAGCGAAAAATACGGTAAATGATGTTAATCCGACTGATTCATTCCAGTGCAAAGGAAACACAATGCAAATGGGGGGGGTGGTAATCAATTGTGTATAATTTGTGGACCGAAAGGAACCAAAAACAGTGAATCAATCACATACTCTGCAAGTGTCCCCTTTCAAGTGGGACATCCTGAATCACAGAAGCCAATCCTGACTTCTGTTTGGATCCTGGAATGTCCCACTTTTTGGACCAAAAGATGTTCACTCTGGCTCTCTAACACTCATCAGCAGGGTCGCAACAGAGTGCCTTCCTTCCAACACTCTGAAACTTCCCTCCAAATGATTGCCACAGTGGCTGCCAGTCGAGTGCTCTGGCAACTTGTTGCAGGGTTGTGGGAAAGTGCCTTCCTTCCAGTGCTCTGGGATGGCCCTGCAGACAGTTGCCAGAACACCAGACTGGAACACATCTCCTACCTGACATCTGGATTTTGGGAACAAAATGTTGGGAGGTATGCAATCATATTTGCACAACTAACCCACAGACATGAGATGAACAGTGAACATCAGAATAGTGAACATTCTGCTTCTGTTTCCGTTTTCATTGGAATTCTCCAGTATCTTGACCCCCCAGCGTAGGATAAGACTGAAAGCTATCACACCATGGACAGGGTTATTAAAAACAAACAAACAAACAAACAAACATGTTTGACTTTCCAATCATAGCCCATTCAACCAACTACAATGGCCAATGGCGCATGCTCTAAAGCAAATGCTGAACCAAATTCATTAGAAAGTTGAAGCAGAAAAGGAGTTTACAAGTAATAACAACCAAGATTAGTTTAGATAAAATGAGAGCACATGACCAGTATGCTAAAGGATGCAGGTTTAACACAGCAAAGATAGCACTGAGGAAGGATTCCTTGGAAAGCCTGTGTAAATTTGTCTACTGTACGAAAGTAAAATTTACATTCTTTGTACCACCTACATTTGCCTCTGGCCACACCCACCACTAGCATGTGGCCCCTGGAACATTGCCCAGAAGGAAATGAGGCCCTTAGACTGAAATAGAGTGCATTGCAGTGAAACAGCTCTGCAGATTTTACAGCAAACTAGTTTTCTGAGAAATTCAAACTGTGATTTTTCCTGGGCTGGTAAACTGTATCTCATTACTGGCCAACAATCTGCAGAATGATTGCAATGTTGTCTTCTCCAGCTAAAATGTGAATTTATTATTTTATTGCTCCAATGTCCTGTTTTTGCCACTCTATTTTATTTTACACTTTTTCTGGCATACCTCCTTCAAGGGGTCTTGAACCTATGGTATAATTTCATCAGTTTACTGGAAGCCTCCTCCTTTTCTTCTCCCCCTCCCCCAGACACCACAAGTTGTCAGTAGAGGAGACCAATAGACGTTAGAAAATGAAGAAAGATTAGTGTGATGGCTTTTCGTTCCCGTAGATTGAAAATGAATGTACTCTTCTATGGTTGTAATGAGGGCACCTGGAAAACCTCATCGATTGAGTCCAAGGTGAGGGCCATCACTGTTATCCATTATTGCTAAGATTCCTTCAGCTATTACTCCAAGCTTCAGTACATGAGGCCAACTGTGCTGCTGCAACTACGCTGAGCCACAGGTCCAGTTATGTATGGTTGACTGTACAATATGCACTGAGAACAGATTTAACGAGAAAGGGGGCTATCACAGAAGATTCTGTGCTGCGTGTGTGTGTGTGTGTGTGTGTGTGTGTGTGAGAGAGAGAGAGAGAGAGAGAGAGAGAGAATGCTGTGATAATTCTTTTTGTAGTTCTTCATTACATTTATTTATTTTATTTATTGCATCTCCAAGCAGCTCAGGGATGTGTATATAGTACTATCCGCCCCTGATTTTATCTTCACAGCAATTGTGTGGGGCAGGTTTGGCTGAGAGTTAGTAACTGGTTGGTTGGTTAGCCAGTGACTATAGATGGTGGGATTTGAAGTTGTGCCATACAAATCTACTACTACTACTACTACTACTACTACTACTAATAATAATGAAATTGTCCAGTAGAGCCTTAGAGACCAACTAAGTTTGTTCTGGGGAAGTGTGCATGCACACGAAAGCTTATACCCAGAACAAACTTAGTTGGTCTCTAAGGTGCTACTGGACATTTTTTAAATTTTTTAATTTATTTTGAATGCGTCAGACCAACATGGTTATCTACCTGAACCATACAAATCTGGCACTCTACCCAAAATACCAAACTGGCACGCACACAGTATTCTTTTTTCCCAGCCACATTCATAGGGCACCATACACTATTTTCCTGGTGTTTCCCTAACTGTTAATTTCTGTGTAATCTTGCATACTTTGAAAGGGGGAAAACAGAAAATGAAACAATTCGGAACAAGAGTCACCAGCTCCCATGCTTCTGTCATGGGAAAAAAGATTAGTGCTAGTCAGAAAATAATTGATTTAATTTGAACTGCTTGACAATAATAGATTTCATTCAAATGGCTCTCATTAAATAGTTGCATTTTCTCGGAGCAGCTGGAATGCTAAGGACAGTGGGGTATTTCCTCTTTTTTTGTCCATTTAAAAGATATTACTTTGGGGCATATGCTGTGAAGCTAGCCACATATTGTTAAACAAGATTATTTTATGTTGCCATTCCTGTAGGCTTCATTATTGCTATTATTGCTAGTAGCGCTTTCTTATTTTAATAATATTTCCACCAGCTGTTAACTGTGATGGCTATTCATACCTCATCCTAAAAGTGTCTGATCTCTCCTATGGGACTCCTTGACTTCTGAGGGGGCAAAACTTGCAGGCGGGTTCAGATATTGCAAAATTTAAAACACTGAAAGCTCTTGGAATTCGGTAACATTTCAAGAAGCCTTAAGGATCTCATGTAACTGATTGTTGTTTGGGCATTAAATTTTGTGATTGAGGTCAGACATGTAAGGCTGTATTTCCAGTACAGTCATACCTCAAGTTGAATGCGCTTCTGGTTGAGCGTGTTCGAGTTGCGCTCCGTGGCAACCCGGAAGTAACGGAGCATGTTACTTCCGGGTTTCGCCACTCACACATGCGCAGATGCTCAAAATGACATCTCACGCATGCGCGGAAGCAGCGAAACGCGTCCCGCGCATGCACAGACGCTCCGTCGCATCTTGCGTTCCATTCGGGATGCGAATGGGGCTTCGGAACGGATCCCATTCGCATCCCGAGGTACCACTGTACATATATCCAAGACATGTGATGCTGTATTTACATAGATCAGATCAGATCATAGTACAGTGGTACCTCAGGTTACATACGCTTCAGGTTACATACGCTTCAGGTTACACACTCCATTAACCCAGAAATAGTGCTTCAGGTTAAGAACTTTGCTTCAGGATAAGAACAGAAATTGGGCTCCGGCTGCGCAGCGGCAGCAGGAGGCCCCATTAGCTAAAGTGGTGCTTCAGGTTAAGAACAGTTTCAGGTTAAGAACGGACTTCCGGAACAAATTAAGTACTTAACCCGAGGTACCACTGTATTGTGGTGGCTGGCTAATAAGAATGGCTGAGGAATTCATGTAGTCTCTTTTTCATAGCAAATCAACTCATTCTGAGGCTCCCAGATTTGCTTGTTGATTGGAATGCAGGTCCAGTCAGATTATGTACCTCTCCAGATTTTGCAATGCATTTTTATGCATGAGAAGTGCACACACAATACATATTTAAATAAAAGATTACTGTACTGATCACTATTTAAATGTGCCTTTTACAAAAAGTGTATTTTACAGATGAATGCATTCAAAAGCATTCAAATGTATTTATCTTCCATAAAAGAGTGAGTTTCATGTAGACAGTGCACACGAAATGCATACTATAGGTCAGAATGTGATAGGATTGCACATCACTTATGCCTATCTACTCAAAAGTAATCCCTACTGAGAACAATGAGTGCTGGGACTTGTTCCCAGTTGAAGTGTAGCCACCATCTGTATAATAACGTTTGTGAGTCCGTAAGTAAGTTTATCTAAGATATCCTCCTCTTGAACAGGTTCACCTACACAGATGCATTTGTGAAGCCAGGAGAGATTGGAAGAGTGTGCCTGGGGACTGTGATTTTACTTTCAAGATAGCAACCAAATGCTCCCCTCACGCACCCAGGAAACAGCAGTAAGGAATTGGCTCCACAGTGCCGAGTTAATGCCCATTGTGATTATGGTATCAGCAGCCAGCAATCCAATCTTCTTCTTTTCCCCTTTCTGCATACCCTCCAACACTTCTCCGATCAAAATAGGGACATCCCATTCTATAATGATAATTTTACTATTTATACCCCACACATCTTACTGGGTTGTCCCAGCTATTCTGGGCAGCTTCCAACATATACAAAAACATAATAAAACATTAACCTTTTTTTTAAAAAAAATCTTCCTTATACAGGATTATCTTCAGATGACTTGGGTTTTTGATAACGCCATACTCTCCAACATTTCTCCAGTGAAAATGGGGAAATCCTAAGGAAAAGCAGGACATTCCAGGATCAAATCAGAAACTGGGACGGCTTCTCTAAATCAGGGGTGTTCCTGGAAAATAGGGAGACTTGGAGGGTCTGCTTTCTCTCATTTGCATGTTTGAACATTGCAAGCAGCTCAGTGAAAGCTGGGCCATACTGTAAATTTCAAAATGTTATTTAATTAGAGCTTATGTTGGCACTGAGTGCCCCAGCTGCAACAAAACATGTCTCTTTTGTATTTGTCCCTGCAGCCATGGCAGACACTACAACCTTCCAACAATTTGACTTCACGTGCAAAGGTGCACTCCTCCATTGTCTCCTGAGACAGATGGATGCCAACACGCCAGTATTGGCACCGAGTGACAGTGTAATATATTTGGGAGATGAAGACAACTACCCCAGGCTTGGTCAATAAATCAATGGCCAATAAAAGCAATACAACAGGTTATTCAAAGAAGCATCCAGCCTAACACACCTTATAATATATCTATCCTGTATACTACATCGTGCTGCATCTTATACCACTATCTTGGTGACAACCCCAGCCAAAGAATGTTTAAAGAGTCCTGAGTTCGTGACCCGCAGAGAGCAATGAGTTGACCCACTTGCTATCTGCAGGAGATTTTCTGAGAGAGTAGGGTTTCTTTCCCACAATTCAAGCAGAATGAAAAAATAATGGAGTAGCCTTTCCAATTACTGAACCATTAGAGAAAAGTCTCTTATTGAAAGGACACTACTCCACAGCCTGGTTAACAATGTTGCAGGGACAATTATGGACAAAAGGCAATTCATATGGTGGAAGGTGAAATCAGACAATCATCTGACGAGTCAAGGCCATTTTTTTTAAAAAAAAAAATCTAACTGAGATGAGATGATGGTAAATCCATTATACTGTGCATTGCAACCTAACACAATCTTAGAAAAAGGTGTTCTTAAAGACCCATTCCAGTTACATTGCGTGTGCACACACCCCCACACACTCAGTATGCTGTTCAGATACATGCAACAACACTGTGGTTCAGAAATGTGTGTGTGTGTGTGTGTGTGAGAGAGAGAGAGAGAGAGAGTTTTAGCTTGTAAGTGTGGCTATTTCCTTCACAATCATACAAATCGATTCCACCCTGCCTACAGCTACATTTGTTTGTGACTGATTTCTTTTCTTTTTCTTGGAGAAATCCTATTTACTGCTTTAGCATTCTCATATATAAAACAACTGCTATGATTTTTTTCCAGAGCTGGAGAGCATAAAGTGATGATATGCACAAATGGCTTCTCAAAATTCTCCATCACAATTTGTGAGTACTGTAGATAAATTGTGGAGGACCATTTCCCCAAATTTCTCCAGCAGGAGGAGCGATGTTAATTGCACCCTGCACTTGGGTGTTCTGTGTGACTGGTCCAATGTTTTGGAACACTCTTGCTTTTGACTTTCAGTGGTCTTTTGAAGTCGTGTGTGTGTGCGCGCGCGTGCATGTGTGCATATGTGCTTGTGCACCAACAGGTCTTTACAGTTGCTTACTTTTTGAGTAGTCACTCAGCCATCTGAAATGATTATCAGCATGATATTTTATGTTTAACAGTGTCCACCACTTGGAGGTATTAGCGTGTGTGTGTGTGTGGAGAGAGACTGAATCTAACACAATATAGCACATGCCACCAATCTGCCTTCTCCATTTTAGATCGGAATACAGGGTTCTTACATTCTAAGATATTTCAGCCAAGTTCTAGGTTTTTATCAGGTTTAAGCAATTTGGTGCAGCTTAAAAGCAAGCACCCAGCCCATGGAAAAAGACTGGATCTGCAGCCTGATGTAGAAGAATTTTGACATCTGCATGACTTGAACCACAGTTACATTTGCAGGACTGTGGCAACTTGCTGACAAGCAGATTTTTGTCAAGTTGAGGTTCAATTTTTCCAGAATTACAAGGAAATGTTTTGTGTAAAATTTGTCCTGAGGTGAATTTGGAAGCTAATTTATATAAATCACCCGTATATTGCTATTCATCAGATTCCAGGTTCAGTGTACAACATATATGGAGATATATATATATATATATATATATATATATATATATATATAGCAGACCTCAGAGGGCTAAGAGGTAAAAATTCAATGGACTGGATCCTATGTTGACAACCCTATACCCAGTTACCTGTCAGTAAGTTTTATTGAACTTAATGGGGTTTACTTCTGAGTAGACACATAACATTGTGCTGTTAGTCTGGAACTAGCCCTAAGATAGTTGCTGTTAAGATCTATCAGAATCAGTGTGTACAGTGGCTTATTTAAATCTTACATATTTCAATGGGAACTTTGTGAAGCTAATATAATCTTGTTGGTAGCAACTAAATATGACTAGCAAAACTTGAGGGACAGCTTTCACAAATCTCTGAAATTTAAAGTTTCACAACGTACTTAAATGTATACATTATTCAAATAAAATTGTATGCCAGTTCTGTTCAAATCATTGAGCTCTCTAATCACGTTAACAGCGGCTAGTTAAAATGGGTCATCTCTCTCCCTCTCGCTGTATCTATAAATGGGAGTTTGTCAAATTATTCATCTTTTTAGGTACGGTACCCAATCTGCAAAAGGATAGATGTATGGGTGATGGTCAAAAGTCTCATTACTGGAGGCCTTTCTTAAAGAACACGAAG